CATCGTTGTTCAATTATCGAACACCAAGTATATTACTACATTTTTGAAAACTACTTCTTATCTCATAATTTTTCTACAGGATGTCCCAGAAATAAGCGCAAATATTTTAACTGGTAGTATAATTCAACCCCAGAAACACGCCTATGAGTTTTTTTTGCGAATTTTTTTTTTGAAAATTCGGAATTTTTGGACAAATTTTTGGAAATCTTTTTTAGTTTTTAGTTAAAAAATATAATTTCTTGATAATGTGGCAACATAGGTAGTAGAATAAAAGATAAGAAAGAAAATCCAGAAAAGATCCAGTGGTTCTCAAAATTTGAACAAAATTTTTTTTGGAAATTTTCAAAGTAAAATAACTCCTTTATTTTGGACTTATTTGAAAAACGATAAAGAGAAAATATGTTTATTTTATCGAGATCTACCACCCCTTAAAATACTTGCACTTATTTCTGGGACACCCTGTATTATACTAACTTATACCTATCTCTTATAGTTTTCGAGATAAAAAATAAAATATGTGTAATACTCACAAAAACATGATTTTGAATAAGCATTGACAATCATGAATAGAACATTGTTAAAGTTGAAATTTAGGTTATATCGAAAGCCGAAAACAAAATTCTAAGATTCTTCTAGATCTTCAAACTTCAAATTTTAAATTTTACATACCTAGTTAACTTTGTGCTTATAACGAAAGAAAAAAAATGAAAAATCTCGAAATATCCTTATGGATTAAAAGTTAGGTTTACAGCCGCTACCGGTAACTGACTTTCTAGCCCACAAAAAGATAGAATATAATATTAGACTTCGCGAAAAAAAAATTGAAAATTCGAAATTTTTATGGATTTTTTTTTAGTTTTTAGTAATATGGCAACATAGATATTAGATTAAATTTACAAGAAAGAAAATCCAAAAAAGATCCAGTGGTTCTCAAAATTTTAGAAAAAATCATTTTTTTTTGGAAATTTTCGAAGTAAAATAACTCCGTTATTTTGGACTTATTTGAAAAACGATAAAGAGAAAATATGTTTCTTTTATCGAGATCTACCACCCCTTAAAATATTTGCACTTATTTCTGGGACACCCTGTATAGCAAATGCCATCGATCGTCATTTCCAAGTCAACTAGACTCTCGATCATACAGTATTTCGTTGTCTATGTAAAATGATCGTCCTATAACGACAATGTCAAGGCCAATTTAAATGATTCAATGTGTTACTACTACTGAAATATTGCGTGTTTAATTACAGATAAATTGAAATTTAAAAGTTCGTTTTCTTTCAAAATTCTGGGTGTTAAAGTTTTAACATTAACCACCCTAATTTCTTTCTCACCCTAGACACGTCTTTGCAATCATTCACAAATCACATGTGACATGTGAGTATTGTAATTTTGTTATCATGGGACAAAATAACAACAAAGCTGTAAAAAGTTGTAAACAGCTTTTAAGGTAACTCAATGGGCATCATGCCATATTTTTGAAAATCAACGTAATAACACGTGTGTTGACCTCAAAAAACCATTAGGATTTTGATAAACAAGAACTTAATATAATGATGGATCATCTTCAAAAATCGAACGATTTTTAAAAAGAACGCCGGAAATGTTTATAAGATATATTAAAAAAATATGTTTTTAGTTCCATCTGAATAAAAAGGTGATCAGTAAAGAGTTTACAAATATCCAATTGTTTACAATAGAATTACATAAATATTTCAAACATATTTCCCGTTATTTATGTCTTAATAGACTATTTTTATTCGCTGTAAAATGAATGAATATCATGCATATGCATAAACAACTTATTTGAACTATTTAAATAAAAAACAAACATATAGATAAATAAACATTTAACAACTATAATTTCCAAATATCACCATATACTATAATTTATTTTAGGTTAGCAAAAATATTAACTAAAAATCCTAATAATCATAATGTTAAATAATTTGTACCTAAAACGGCCTCTACACTTCTCGCGAAGTAAGGCGAAGTAGGTTAAGGTTAAATAGTGAAGAGGGATATTCGTTATTTCCTCGTTTAACTTTACCTATCGCGGCTAATTTTCGTTAAGGCGGATTCTGACGACTCGTGTACTTGGCAAGTACGCCAATATATGCGTACTTGGCAAGTGTACCCATCCAATGGCGGATACAGAAGGGGGGCCCATGGGGCCCGTGCCCCCCCTAGAACCTGTAAATTGTGTTAAATATTATGCTTTTGGATTAAAAATGGCGCCCTAAAAAGCATATTCTACATTACTTTTTATTTTGGGCCCCCCCTAAAATAAATTCCTGTATCTGCCCCTGTACCTATCTTTGTAAACAACATTTCTTTGCAACAACGCTCACACGACATGACAAGTATATGCCAATAAAAAAAGTTTGTACAAGTTAAGTACACGAGTCGTCAGAGTCCGTCTGAACGAAAATAAGCTGAGATAGACAAAGTTAAACGAGGAAATAACAAATATCCCCCTATCACTATTCGACCTTAACCTACTTCGGCTTACTTCGCAAGTAGTGTAGAGGCCGTCTCTTAGTTACTTCTGTTTAGATTTAAGAGAAATTTTGTTAGTGTTATTACTTATGTTTAACGTTTTAAACAGCCTCTACACTTTTCGCAAAATAAGTGGAAGCATATCAAGGTCAAATAGTGAAGAGGGTTATTTAGTATTTCTCCGCCTGAATTTCTCTCGTCTCAGATTATTTTTTTTAAAAGGCGGATTCACACGCCTCGTGTACTTGTACAAACATTTGTTATTGGGATATACTTGCCATGTTGTGTGGGAGGTTTACTTATGCAATTATTATTCACTAGTCGCGTCGCGTAAGCACGAAGTTTGTTGTAAAAATATGTTATTTAAAAGAATAGTATACTTGCCAAGTACGCAAATATTGGCGTACTTGCCAAGTACACGAGTCGTCAGAATGGGCCTGTAGACAAGAAAACAGAAAGTAAACCTCTTCACTATTCGACTTTGACCTACTTTGGCTTACTTTGCAAGTAGTGTAGAAGCCATTTTACCTAAAAAATACCTTGTATATTTGGATAACTTATTACTAAACAAGACAGGGTGAGTCTTAAATAAGTGCAAATATTTTCAGGGCTGCCAGATCTCGATAAAAATACATATTTTCTCTATACCGTTTTTCAAATAAGGGGTCATCCATAAATTACGTCACACGAATTTTAGGACTTTTTAACCCCTCCCCCCGTCCTTGTCACAGGTTGTCACATTTTTAGAACCCCATCCCCCCTGATGTGACGTCACACATTTTTCAAATTTATGCATGTATTAAAAAATCATCAAAAGAAAACAATTATTTTTATTTTTTTCTTGACTTAAACCATTTAGAACTTTTGAGAATTTTAGTATCTCACTTGTATTAAAAGTCCGCTCTAGAAGTTAAACTTTGTTGCGTGAGATAATCTCATAGCGAGAGTGCTAAATTATTAATAAATATAGATCAAAGTCGAAAATTTTTAAAGCTATTTTTTTTGCAAATATAAATTTCGTTCTTTATTATTTTAAATTTTAACATGTTACGTCGGAAAACTACAGACCCCCCTGACCCTTGTCGCACTATGTCACATTACGGTGACAAACTCTTCCCCCCCCCCACGCCCCGTTAACGTGTGACGTAATTTATGGATGGCCTCTACAAAATATCCAGATATTTTACTTTGAAAATTTCCAAAAAAAAATTATTTTTTCGCTTAAATTTTGAGAACCACTGGACTTATTTTGAGTTTTCTTTTTTGTAAATTTAATCTACTACCTATGTTGCCTTATTATAGAAATATTATCCTAAAAATATTTGAACTTATTATTTAAGACTCACCCTGTATAATTATTGTTTTATTCCATTCTTATAAATCAACCACCTTAAAAAAGGCACGTTTTAAATAACGTATGTGGAAGTATTTTTGTCTAACAAGTTTTTTTAACAAAAAAATACTAGAGATCGCATCATTGAAAAAGGAATGTTGTCAAGTTGCCAAAGATGTAAAAAAAAATTTAAATAAAAATGTGGTTAAATGGAAAAGAAACATGTTTAATATTTGCTTAGAGTAAATTAGATTATTATCCTTTTTTGGGCATCATCCAATAAAGAAATCCATCCAAGAATTATAATAATTATTTTTTAGGTTAAAGAAGTTAGTTAGTTATTAAATTAGTTAATAGTTATTTAATAAAAAATTATTAATAATCTTTGTTTGTTCGTTACCGGAAAAATAATTAGTAATTATTTTAGTATTTATTTATTCTTTGTCATAGAAATAAGCCAAGGTCTACACTATATACACAGTTAATTTTCATGGAAAGCAATTTAACATATTTTATTGGCTAGTAACATTAGCATGCGCTAATTGTTTGTAAATAATTCATAATAGTTTTCATAGATATAAATAAATTAAAATAATTTGGTACAACATAAAATTATTTAATATGTAATAAAATATTTAACATCTGTGTAGGTAATCTTTCGGTGTATTTATAAATAATTCGAATAAATATAAGAACATGAGCTAATAGCTTAAACCAACTTTATTTATAGGTAATTATGCTCCATGTCGTTTTGGTACTCTCAAGAAGAATCATTAAATTGACCGCGACGATTTAATTGTGACAAAGTGTCAATAGAAAATATTTCTTAGAGAAAAAGTACAATGGAGAAGACCTTAAAAAGCACCAATTTATATCGATGGTGAACATTGGTTTCCTGGACGTTTATTTGAAATTTCTATTATTGTCATTTTTTCCAAGTCAAAATCACATGTTTCACAAGTTGCTTACTTTTAACCAGCAATATCTTAAAAAACTAATACGATGAAATATGTGTCCCAGTATGTATTTGGGATCTTAATAAGAGATATTCCTAATTAAAAATTTTCAAATTATCACCCATTATATAGTCTCGTACAGGATGACTGGTTAAACAATAATACAAAAACATGTATTCACTATAACACAAAACCATTCCTTTAATTATTACCTTAGATTTCAGCTGCTTCCTGACCTGGTATCCTCTGAATCCAGCCTGGATTTTGGTAGCTGCTTCCACTTCCATTTGTTTCTCCGTGGACCCGATAGCGCTGTTACTGACCGCGTTGTTTTTCTTGCTGTTGTTGTTACTACTGCTGTTCTCACCATCCATGTCCTGCTGTTGTAAAGTGCGCGTTCGCGACTGTGGAGGTGGTGAGCGGTGGCCCCCCTGCGAATCCTGCCGCGTTTTAAGTGGCGGCTGCGCCTCGAAGGAGGACCGCGGAGATGAGCTGAGCGGTGGAGGAGTCAAGTTCTCAGGACCTGCTGCACGTGCAAATCAAGTATTGGTCGATTATCTGTTTTAACAACTTCTTTTTAACTATAAAAACTAAATCATACTATCGCATTTGACACATAAATAGCTAATAGTTGTTAAATATTACAGGCATTTGCATTTGAAAAAAGTAGATAATGATGAATTGTCTCAAAACTGTGTGAACTGTCTGAAAATTGTATTTAAATTTGGAACATTCACAAATATACTCTGTTTGGGTGTCTGTGTTTTGCTAAGTGCTTTAACATTTGACATCCACAAAAATCAAGAAAAAGTACAGGAAGGGTGAAAACTACCATTCAAAACCGAGCATTTAAAATTATACAGGGTGGTCCGAACAGTATTCTGGAAACTTCGGCAGCATACTCTGCAGATAAAAATAAGTAAAAAAGTTCGTATAAATGTATGTCCTAAGATGCTTAGTTTCGAAGATACAGGGTGTAGAAGTTTCATTTTTATTTCGATTTTTTCGAAATAATTTCTGAAGTAACGTCAATATTTAGATGAAAATTGGTGTCGTAGTTTTTTGACATGAGAAATTTGATTTTGATGTCAATATGGCTGCTACTGGTAGAGGGCGCCACCTACATATTTTTAACTGGTTTGAAGAGTAATAACTAATCGTCCGTACCTGTAGAAAACTAATAGGTGAAAAAATATACATTTATGACGTTTTTTACGTAAAAGAGATCTCTTGGTAAAAATCGATACGAGTAATGTTTCTCGAAATATTTGGAATCGAAATTATCAATACCTTTCTTCATTGACATAAACTAAACATGTTGACTAAACAGTTATGAAACTGAAATCATAAATTTGAAATGTTTTTGTGTCAAATGTTCAACAGAAACTTTTTTATCATTTTTTCAAAGAAAAATTTATGATTAATTTAAAAAAATAAAAAGTTCCCAAATTTTGTCTATTTCAGTCAAATAAGTATCTACTCCACATGTTTATTTCTTGTCAATAATGACTAATGACATGTATTGACTATTTCCATTCTAAATATCTCTTGAACGGTTGCTCGTAGCCATTTTTACCAAGAGATATTTTTTACGTAAAAAATCACGGAAATGTATATTTTTTCACTCAGTAGTTTTATACAGGTACGGACGAAAAGTTAAAACAGCAGTTAAAACACATGTAGGTGACGCCCCCTACAAATAGGAGTCATTGACATCAAAATCAAATTTCTCATATCAAGAAACTCCCAGACACCAATTTTCATCTAAATATTGACGTTACTTCAGAAATTATTTGGAAAAAATCGAAATAAAAAAGGAACTTCTACACCCTGTATCTCCGAAACTAAGCATTTTAGGACATATATTTATACGAACTTTTATACATATTTTTATCTGCAGTATATGCTGCTGAAGTTTCCGGAATACAGTTCGGACCACCCTGTATAGTATATTTTCCAACTCAACCGGACGACCGATTTTTTTTCGTAAAATGATCTTTCTAGTATTTTCTATATCTCTATATCTAGTTTTTTCCTATATTTTTTATCTCTTGTAAAAAAGGCCACGTCGGCGTCGCAAAAAATTGGAGGATTTATTTTTCCAAAGCAGACCTACCAAATATACAAGGACTTCCAATATTCCGTGGACATAGAACAACTACGTATTCTTTGAGTCTAAATAAATTAATTGCACATAATTTATCTTTACACAAAAGTGCTTCGTTTGTCTGTTAGAGGGCATCAATCCAAAACAAACGCGAACGATGATTAATTTAAAGTTATTAATTTTTCAAGTTTTTATGAAGCAATAATCAAATATAATTTGTAATACTAAAGTGAAATTCCATATTTTTACAAACTAGATTATTAAGAACATAATAGATTTTATGTGCCCCCATAGCTTGATGTGACAAAAAATATTTTTTGGCAGTCAGCTTTGGAAAAATATTTTTTTCCTCAAGTATGTGCGATGACGTTTTTTTACAAGAGACAAAAAATGTAGTAAATACTAGAAAACAATTTTACAAAAAAATCGGTCGTTGGTTGAGTCGGAAAATATTTATAGTAAAATTTACGTAGGAGTGAGGGTAGCTTTACCCTTCCAGTACATTTTCTTGATTTTTGTGAAAGTCAAAGGTTCACAAATCGGAATAACGGTTCTTAAAATATTTGAAAAAATGTGTTATTTTTTTTTAAAGTCTGATGCCCTCTAACGGACAAACGAAGCACTTTTGTATAGAGGTAAATTGTGTCCAATGGGCTTATTTTGATTCCAAAAATACGCTGTCCTCGGAATATTGGGACACCCTGGATAAAGGAGAGACAAAACGTTTTCTAAATGTACGACTTAATGATCATAAAATCATACACAAAAACAGTGGCAGTACGTGGTTCAGTACATAGGGGTGTGTATTAATCCGAAAATTGACATGTCCACACCGAAAACAGGGCTATCAAATCGTCAATCAAAGGCTGAAAATTAAGGATCCTATTATATTCAACTAATTACCAAAAACACCATCTGTTAAAAGGTATTACCAGAAGTCCCAATCTGACACAGATAATCGCAGTCGCGAGCTGCAAGTGCACGTAAAACGTAAACCAGTTTAACAAACAAACAAACAAACAACGCTTTATTGTGCAAAAAGCCAAAACAGCTTCATCGACAAAGCACTGACAAACAACAAAATCACAAAAAAATACAAACAACAAAAAATACACAATACAAATAATACAATTCAAAAAAATTTAAGTCTTTAAAATTACAAAAAGAATATACATGGACAATTTTAGAACAGTACCCAGTAAATAGATATAATTTTAAAGTTATAGAATATTAAATACTTGACCTTTGACCAGTGTGTGAGATGATCAAAGTTTTAAAATTCAAAATTGTTCATAATTAAACATCAACAAAAAAGTCGTTTACCGCATATAGGGCTCTCTCCAGTAGGTATGATTTTAGAGCCAAGTTAAGTTTAATACAATGAACGTCGTTAGAGTGTAGCGGCGAACAAAGAATGTTGTCTAAAAAAAGTTAAAGGTAAAGGTTTGACCAATTAGATCTACGAGACCTTGTTGTTGGTGGGGAAGCTTCTAGTCAGGTGCTAGGGGAAATCCCCGCTAGTATGTTGGTGGGTCTATATAAGGAGCATCCCTAGCTGTAGTGTCGCTTGGCTTAATCACCCGGATCAAGAGGAGACAACCTCACCAAGAAATACATGGCTAGATAGAAGACTATAGCTTCTACTGGTTTCAACCTTGGGACTCTAGGAGGCAACCTATTGTATTCTCGTCTCCCTTACTTCTACATGCGGGGCTCTGTACTAACCCATAGATAAAGAATATATTATACTGAAACCACTGAACTAACCTTTGCGGTGTATCCCTAGCTTTGCCAGAACTCCAATGTAAGAACATCGAGTTGGCGAGTAATCAACTCGCGGGAGGAGGGCTATGGTCAGGTTTTCACAATGGGAATTAACCTCAAATCCAAGGAGGCAGAAAGAAAGATATACTCTATTTATAGATCAAGCAACGAAGCAATAGAGAAAGAGAGATATATCCTCTATTATGGATCCGGGACAACACCGGATTCAGGACTAAAGATAGATCAAGTTAAAAAAAAGTGGAGAAAATGGAGACTAATTGAGACTCAGACTGATAGATCCTCTAGCCTCCAACTCAAGGGTACCTCAGCCGAAGACAAGCTGCTTGACTATGAAAGGCACGGAAGGCTAAATCCCAACCGTAGAAGGGTGTATGCTTGGTGTATGCCCTCCTAGGGATAGATGGCCACTCCTCGGCTGGCAACCACTCATCAAACGTACTTATGTTGGCGCCTTTAGCAGACAATCTCAGCTCTAGGCAGCACCGACTGGCGATCCATCTGATCGAAACGCTCATAAATGTTGAGAATTAAGTACAATATCAATCAGAGAAGATATTTTATTTCATAGTACAGCATTTATTTCGATTTCAGAAATTATTCAATAATTTAAAATGTAGTAGAAAACTTATGAAGCTACGCATAGAAGATATTATTTGGAAATATTGTTCGAAACAATTTAAAGAATTTACTTTGGAAGCTTGAAATAAACTTGTGTAAAATAAAACTTTAAATGAACGTTTTTTCCAAATATTTCAAATTGCCTTCTATTACCTTAAGAAAACAAAACTCCTAAAACTTGCAGTAATCAATACCTACTAGGTCATGAAAACCCATTTTTAAACCATGTATATTTATCTAAAACGGAATCAAAACATCCCGGCCTAATTTATTGCCTTGAAGAATCGCGTTCTGTTTAAGCAAATTAAGTTTCACTCTCTCCTACCTAGGATAAACACCGAGTGTTCCATATAAACGTTAGATAATTAAATAACAAAACTATTTTCGATAGATTCCGATCGATTTCCTTTCATTAGTCTAGCCTTAGAGCGACAAAAAGATACAGAAAGACCATTTAAAAAAAACACTTTCTATCAGGCAGAGATGAGTCACTAATAATAATTAAAGATTGAATGTGCACATCCATTCCTGGCTTTATTACTAACACCAGTTTTATGAACACGTATATTAAAATAAATTATTTTATATTGCAAACATCCGTTTACGTTTTCTGTTATATGTTATTTATATGCATAGTAGTGGATCATAACTAGTCAGTATATAGTTTCAAATGCATCTTAGATCATAATATATTACCTATACGACCCAGACACAATATGCCGACGCTATTGCCCAAAATTCTAACGCGTGAAGAGTTATGTTTTCATTTTTGTTCCACAAAGCATGCCCTATACTTAATATACATGCGTCTCAAAACCTCAGGTTCATAACATAACGACAATCTGACTCGAAATACCAAGTGTGTGGTACCAAATTATTGTTTTATGTTAAATTAATGTTTTTCCAAATATGCTAATGAGCCACCCTCGTTCCATTTGAAAATTTTGAGATATGAATAAAAATACGATTTGGGTATCTTTAAACCGACCATGACAACACGAAAAACATGAGCCGATCAAATCTATTTTTCCAAGACTCCTTGATTAAAAATTAGTGTTTCTAATACAGTCATGGAACTCTAGATTTTTTAGAAATTTAAAATACAATTTTTTTTTAAAGCAAAAATGTCAAAAGTTGATATATGATATGTCATTCTATTCAGAATATCATTTTCTATCAGATAAAGTAAAAAATACGAAGAGTGCTATTTAAAAATCAATCAAAAGCTGTAGTAATTTCCAGTGAAACGGGGGGAGTGACTGAAAACTATTGATAACGTCAATCAATTCTTTTTATGTCATATACTAATTCACCATATCTGGTTTTTTTATGTGAAAAAATAAAAAAGTTATAGGGGTGAGCCACTTTTGAGATGCACCCGGTATGTTGAATGAACTAAGGTTTAACTATTTATATTATTTGTCTGAGTTTATGTATGTATAGAATATTAATCTAAAATGTGCGGCATGTCGAGTTTTTTTATTAATAAAATTGATTGATATCATAGACTAAATCTAATATTAACACCATATTATTTGTATAGGTTTAGTTTTGTATAATAAATAATATCTTTGAAATACAGGAATTAAATACTGTTTCAGTAATATTCTAAGAGAGATTTCAAATTGGGGGGGATAGTTGTGTATTATTTGAAATTTTTAGAAAACTGATTTTTTTAATTTGCTTTTATGTTGACTAGAACTAAAAAAACTGTAGTCCAGACAACTGAGTTCGTTGGCAAAAAATCAGCGATGGCCTATATATCTGTCAATGTCAAATTTAATTTGTTTTAAGATACTAAACGCGGAACTATATATATTTTTTTATTTTAAGATATATTTTCTTCTCATTTAACCCTATTTTACATAGGAAAGCACTGTTTCTATGATGCGTGACGCTCGTACGTCATTGTTGGAAGACTACATACAAAAATTCTAAAATTACACGCCGAATAGACGTAAAACATCCTTTCCTCTTTACTGTAACGTCAACGACAATCTATATTTAAAAAAAAGCTATGTATATACATAAAACCGCAACTGGAGATTAAAAGAACTCACGTTGTGTTAAAAGATGAGCGTATTTTTTAGCTTTTATTAGAATTTAATTATAGTATTTTTATTACATTTTGGCTTTTTATTAAAATAAACAAAGTTAATGTTCTTCTGCTTTTATACACAAATATCTCAGATTAAGAAAACAGAAGTATAGACTGTTGAAAGTGTTGAACTATACATTTAGCATCAACACTAAAAACAACAAACAATAAAAAACAGTAAACAATAAAAATGTGTGAACCCTAAACGCGAAAACCGATGCTTACAACTAACATATGATTCGAATGATCAGTTGATTCAACTTACTATTATAATAAATACTTGACCTGGAGCTTGTTGGATTGCTGTTTGATTACCACGATCTGTCGACTCAGGCCGTTGAGGTTCGGCAGCATCTTGTCCAGAAGTCATACCAGCAACCACATCCAGCCTTTCGTTGTTTAGTGGTAACGGAACCACCACTGTGTCATGGAACTCACTTGAATGCTGCAACATGTGTGTCTCTACATCTTTAGTTGGTGGTTTTTCGTTTAAACTTTTCACTTCAATCGAAGGAGTAGTCTGTTCTGCAACACCTGGAGCTTGTTGGATTGCTGTTTGATTATCACGATCTGTCGACTCAGGCCGTTGAGGTCCGGCAGCATCTTGTCCAGAAGTCATACCGGCAACCACATCCAGCCTTTCGTTGTTTAGAGGTAATGGAACCACCACTGTGTCATGGAACTCACTTGAATGCTGCAACATTTGTGTCTCTACATCTTTAGTTGATGGTTTTTCGTTTAAACTTTTCACTTCAATCGAAGGAGTAGTCTGTTCTGCAACCTTATATGTTGTAGAATGGTTATTATCTTCAAGATTGCTTATTTCATCAGGACTTAATACTTCCACTTCACTTTTTGGTCGCCCAGCTTTCAGATTTTCACTAGAAAGACTGGGATTACCACAAAACTTTACCGCATCTTTATTATCTTCAGAGTCTCTTGATTCAGTCTCACGTTCTTCTGCTATATCTGGTAGTTCCCTATTTGGACTTCTAATCCTTTTTGAATCAAACATATTTTCCTCTGGTTCAAAGTCGCTTAAATAATGCAGCAATTCGTCATTATGTGTTGTCTGTGTACTCTCATTTTCGTGATAGAGTGATGCAGCTTCTTGTAATTCTTGCCTCAACTGTTCTATATCGAATTTTTTCGATGTGTCTACTTGCTTACCACAAATCTGATCTAGTAGTGTATTTTGTACTTGGTCTATTAAATCGACATGACCTTCTAATGCATCTGACATATTTTTATTGGAAATATTTTTATTTGTTTTAGTTTCAACTTGTTCATTTACATCTTTCGATTCGTGATTTGGGTTTTCAATAACTGTAACTACTGAATCAGCCGAATCAACACTGCTTAAATCGTCTGGTCGTTCATCTATTTTTATATCCAGTTTTTTGGAAGTATTTTCCTTACCTTCAAAACGAGTTTCATTTTCATTTAAAATGGTGCTTCCCTTTTTATTTTCATCTTCATTCTCCTTTGTTTCATCGTTTAATAATTGTCTATCATTTTCTTTTGTTATAATTTTATTAGCTTCGGTATCATCTGAAATAGAATCTTTGTTTGATGATATTAACGTTTCTTTATTAGATTCATTTAAATTAACGTTATTTATCTTAGAAATAATATTGGGTTCTTCTCTCTTTTTATCTGTTTCAGTTACAAAATCCTTGTTCGTTCCCTGATCGTTCACTTTCGAATTACATGAAACTGGTTCATTTTGATCTTTATTCTGCATAATATTAGAAATTTTGCTAGTATCTTCTTTAACATCTTTAGATGATTCAGTTTTATCTTTCAAAGTGTTTCTATTATGTTTTGCCCCTACAGCAAGCGTATCAAAATTAAATTCATTGTCTTTCTCTTCTGTAACACCTTTTGTTCTTCTTAGTTCTTCAAAATGCATTTCTGATGGTAGTTTATCTAGTTCAGGTTGATTTTTCAAATCAGTATCATTTTTAGTAATATTGTCTGTTTTACTGGATATATCATCTTCAAGTTTGAGATCTAATATTTTCTCTCCACTATTTGATATTGCAAAGCGAGAAACCTTGTGATCTGCTGTATTTTTTAGTTCTAGTTTAGTTTCTGCTGTAGACTTATTTGTTTCTAATATGTTATCATCTTTGCTCTTTATATCATTAGCCTCAGTGACATAATCATTTTTGAATACATCTTCTTCATCGTTGTCTGGCTTGTTAACAGTTTCTATAATATTATTAGTATCACCATCGTCAGTTTTAGAGCTATCCATACTAGTAGATATATCTTGTAAAGTATCAAATTTATCTGGATATTCGTTTGAAATTGATTTGTTTTCAGAACTATTTTCATCAGATTCGGCTTTAGTAATCTGTGTCAGATGCTTATTAACTTTATCTAGCGATTTTTTATTTAACAGTTCAACATCAATTTTAGGAAACATTTTACTGTTATCAGTATTATCATCAAAACTGGTTTTAATCGATTTTATATCATCGGATTCAGTTAAAGTATCATCGTATGATTTTTCAGGCTCATCGTTCAATATTAGTTGTAGTTTGGCACTACCCTCTGTTAAGGTATGTGTTTCCTCGCTGCTATAATTTTCTGAATCTTTTGACATGTCCTTATCATTTTTCTCAGGTATTTTATCAACTTCTTGTATGCTGTTAGGGATATCATGAGATGGAACTATTGGAAGTTTACTAATAGCTTCTTCAATATTTTTCATACTTTTTCCCGTACAACTTGAACTTAGATTATTACTCTTTTCTTCAGTAGCTTCTTGTTCAATACCTGTGTCCATTATTTTACGTATAGTTTTACTGACTTCCTGTTCCATAGGAGTCATTAAAGCGGTTTCACTATAACCTCGTATAATTTTATGTACAGCTGATTTAGTATCTCTTTCTAAGTCTGTTTCATCTTTGCTTTGATTGTTATTATTATCAACAGTTTCCTCATATATTAACCTTTCGTTACTAGATTCTGATGAAGTATGAAGTTGAGGTATATTCTTTTTAATTATATGTGGTTCTATTACAGTATTTGATCTATAAAAATCAGGTTTTTTCGGTAAAGTATTATCTTTAGAATTTTTACTAGCCGTTGCTTTGATTTCTTTCGGAGGAGTTTGCATAACCTTCTTGTGCTTATTTACCTTTTGTCTATCTATGTAGCCTCTTACAAACGATTGTATTTTTATTATGGCTTGTTCAGTACTAAGGTTTGTAGACTTTCTCTAAAGCAATAAAACAATATTAATATTAGTTTAAAATTTGTTTGAAAACTTTAAAAACTTACCTGTTTTTGAGATTCTTTAAGATTTTTTCGGGTGATAAAGCCTCGCCACATAGATTGTATTTTTACAGCAAACTCTTCCTTTAGCTTTTTTTCTACTTTTCCATTTGCTCTACTTTTTTCTTGGTTTAATAAATCTATTTTATAGTTATGTAAATATTCTGTTTTTACATTATTAGTGTCTTTATAGTTTTTATCGTTTTCTTCAGGCTTTATTTTGTTTTCAGACTCTTTTTTATTTTTTGATGTACGTTCTTCATTATCTTCATTGTGTATTTTTTCCTGATTTTGTTGCATTATTGTATCTTTATCTTTCGGTATATTTATGTCATTATCTATGCCAATAGAACCTAGCATCATATAGTCATTGTTAGCAGATTCTATTACAAATGGCTCGCTCGCCAAATCAACCTTATGGTTCTTATTATTTACTTCAACAATGGTTTTATTTTTGTCTTTATTCTTTAATTTATATAGTCCATTTTGTTCATCATCAACTCCCTTTAACACTTTGTTTTGCTTTTCTTCAAATTCATTAATTATTTGAGTATCAGTTTTACTTTGTTTGGAATCAGTCTTTCCTTGCTTATGATCAAAAGAATCCTGCAAAGGTTCACTTATTTTTGCACCTTCAAGATAAATTTTATTTTTGTTATTTTCCGTTTTTTGTTCTCTTGAATTTTTTTCACGTTTTTCTCTTGATTTTCTTGAGACGTTCTCTTTATCACTTTTTTCACTACTCGATTCTTCAGTTTCTTTTTTCCCCAGTATTTTTTCTTCTAATTCTTTGCTAGTGGTCTCAAGTTGTCTTATCAAAGGTCGTCTACCTGCTGATTTTCTAGTTGTTTTTTCTTTAGACCTTTGTCTAGCGGACATTGGGATGCTAGTTGTTGGTTGACTACGATCTGATTTCAAGACTCCGACTGACTGAGTTCGTTTAATTTTATTTTCTCTAGGTGATATTTTTTCATCTTCACTTGAAGTTGTTTGCGACAAAGATCTTTCAAATCTTTTTTTAAAAGATCGTTCTTTTTTCTCTTTTTTGTCATCCTTAATTTGCTTTTCGTTCTTTGTAGATTTTTCTTCGCTAAATTTATTTTGTCCCTTTTCAATTGTGCCATCATTAATTTCTTTTGGTTTGAGAATGTCATATTTTTCTTGATGAATAAAAGAGTTTAGGTAATTCTTGATAGAGTTATCTATTATTCCGGGTTTTTCAGATGATAATTCAAGATTTGCAATGCTTTTAATTATATCTCCAGATACATTTGTATGTTTTAATTCTTTTTCGTCATCTTGCAATTTGAGGTGAGGTATTTCAATATTATTTGGGATATCTGCAGACAACAGCTTTATTTCTTTTTCATGTAACAGCTGCTTTTCTGATTCAGGTAAAGAAGTCTCCTTTTCATCTTTATTTTTGACTAAAGGTTTTATTTCAACGGAATCAGAATTTTGTAATGAGGACTCTGTTTCTTCAACTTTGACAGAATCTTCCGTATATTTTACTTCTTCTTTATTATCCTTAAGATTCTTATTTACAAATTGAGATACAGTACCATCAGACTCCTTATTATGTTCTGTATATGATGTTTCAGGTTTCATATCAGCTTTTTCTTTTGTGTTTATATTATTTTTTCCCAGTGGATCATCTTTCACTAAATGTTCTTCTTGTGATAAGGAATTATATTCAGTTTTTGTCTTACTGATATTCGTATTATCAATTTTACTAATCTCTGAGTGCTGAGGCTGTGGTTGTACTGTTACAAAGTTTTCATTTCGTACTAATTTATTTTCTTGGCTATGCATTGTTTGAAGTCCTGTAGTTCCTTCTTCTTTCAATCGACTATTTACTTGATCTTTGTTTTTATTTAATTCTTTAAATTCACTGTGAGTGGGTGTAGAGCTCTCTACAGTAGATACATTTTCTTTGAGTTCATTCTTTTTTACATTATTGTGAGTTACATCAATATTTTTTATAGAATCTTCATTTTGAAACGCGGTTTGATTTTCAGGGTTAGAAATACTTATGATATTAGTTTTCTCCTTTCTACTATCTATTTTCCTAACAGAATTTTCTTCTTCCTGTAATAATTCGTTATTTTTACTATCAACTTGTTGCTTTGCAATTGTTTTGCTTTCTTCCAGTAAGTATTTTTTCTGACCTTCGTTTTCATGATTTTCATTAAATTCATTACTACTATGATCAATGTTTTCTACAGTATATAATTTTTGTTTTAATTCGGGCTCATTTTCTTTAATGAGCTCTGTGCCATATTTTATTGGAGATTTAATTTTATGCGATTCTATATTTCTTAATGCAGTGTTATTTTCAGATGTTGTAGGTATATTTGTATGATTGACTGCCTCTTTATCCCCACTATCTGTTTTAATATTTTCTAAATGGCAAAGTTCAGATTGTACTGTGGTAGAATTTTCTATATCTATTATCTTATTGTTTTGATAATGGTTTATCTGTTGATCCAGAGATTCTGTTTTGTCTTTTAACTTGTCAGATTTGGTTACTTTGGTATTATTAATTTCCTGATCGCAGCTCTTAGAATATTCAGTAGATATATCTTGATTTAAAACTTGTTCTTTGCATTCTATATTATCGATTACATGAGCGGTATTTTCAGGTAAATCATTATTCTTTAAAGCAGTATTATTTTCAGATTCAATGGAACTATATATATCAGTATCCTTTTTATTGTCGCTACACTTTTTATCGTGCTGTAAAGGCAGTTGTTCTGTTTTAGATGTTTCATTTTTACTTAATTCAGGTTTTACTTGTTGTTCAGTAGATTCGTTGTATTTCTCTAACTTCTCATCTTTGACTTCCTCTTTTATTGGCTCTTTTTTTAAGACTGCATTTTGTGATAATATATCATTATTATACTTAATAAAATCATTTATATCACTGACGTTTACATTATTAGTATCTCTTTTATTTCTCTCCATAATTTGAGGTTCTGTTTGTTCTATTATAGAATTTGCCTTATTTATTATTTTATAATCTCTGTTATTTTCAACGTTTTGTTCGACTGCTTGTTTTTCTTGTTTCTTTAACTCATCCTTAGCATTACTAATATTTTTAGGTTTAATATTAAGAGATTCTGTATTAGATATTTCGAGATTTCTTTCACCTTCTTCTGGGTATGTTATATTATGGCTTATATTTGTGTTATCTAATTCAGATTCTTGTTTTACTTTTGTCACATTTTCTGGTTTATGGAATGGCGATTCGTAGTCCACACTGTCCATTTGGAAAACATGATCTTGTTCAGTTTTTATAAACCAACTTAGAAACTTTTTAACCTCGCTATCAACTATACCTGGATAGTCTTCAGATAGTTTTGACTCCAAAATCTTCTTAGTTGCGTTACGATAAGGTGAAGTTTTCATAATATCACTACCTGGTTCAGAAGCAACCTGTTCGTCGTCAGATACGTTTGATTTTACTTTATCTTTGTCAGAGAATGAGTCTCTCTTAAGGTTTTCTATGTTATGTTTAGCAATCGTTTGTGCTTGATGCATTTCAACAACAGGTTCTGCAGAAGATGTTGGAAAGCTAACTGTTAAAATATCATCTCCATCTTGATCTTCAACTTTATTTTCAGTTTTTTTATCATCTACTAACTGCTCAGATGTTGAAATGTTTTGAGGTAGCCCAGTTTCTTTATTTTCAACAGAAGGCACCTCTTCGGGTTCAGTCATATTTTTCTGGTCTTCTAATTGATCAGTCTTTTGAAGTATTTCGTAATTATTCGTTGTCTCATCAACATTTTTATTAATATCATTTTGTCCTTCTTCTTCTACAGTTTTGTCTCTTTCAGTATTATTTTCTTTCATTTCATTTTTAACTTTTTTAGATGTTTCTAAATCTTTCAATAACAATTCTTTATCTCCAGTTTTGTTAGATTTAATAGTAACTTGTTTAATATTTTCGGCAATTATATCTTGACTTGTTAATTTTAAATCTCCATTTTTAATATTATCTTTAAGTTCATTGACATTATCTATTTCATTCGTTGAGTTATCATTTTCTATATTTTCTTTTAATCCATCATCAACTTTAGATGATATATCGGAGGGTCTCAGTTTCTTATTCAAATCATGTTTATTCTCTTCTTGTAAGCTTTTTTTAATAATGTTAAGATCGTGTTTCAAATTTTCTTTTAATTCTATTTGACCATTATTATCTACAGCAGTTTTATTATCTTTGATTATATTTTCTATGCCATCTTTCATGATAGTAGATTTTTGTTGTTCATAATCCTTTTTTATATTATCTCCATCTTGCGAATTTTGCATTTCTTTAATACTTCCCTTTATATCTTGAGCTATATTTTCTGTTTTATTGTTTTTATTATTTTCAGAATCCTCAGGATTATCATTGATATTATTTAAATCTTGATCTTTAGATAATTTTTCCATATCACTCGATACAATTATTTGTTTGCTATTTTCAAATTCATTATTTTTATTATCACCCATTTTCTGATCAACGTCATTATTTGACTCATTTAAGTTTGATTGGATATTTTTAGATACTATGTCTAGATTTGATGATTTAGCCCATATTTTAGAATCATCTGCTTTATCATCCTTTAAATTTTCCTCTTTTGCATTGATTAATGTATTTTCTGATTTAAAATCAGTAAGAGGAACTTTCTTGATGCTGTTTTCACTGTCGGTAGAGTCTAACTCATTAACTTTATTTATGTCATCAGATAATATAGCAATATTTGTAGCTTTTGCTAAAATATCAGAATCTGAAATATCGTCTTTGTTATAGTCAGTTTTTAATGCACTTAATTTAGTTGAAACCTCAGGTACTTTTTCAGAGTCTTTATTTTCTTTAGTCGATTCTGATATACTAAAAGTTTCTTTGCCTTTTGTTTTATTTTTAATGTTATCTAAGCTGTTGTCTAGGCTTTCTGTTAAAATAGGAGTTACTGCAGCAACAGCAACCGTAGTAGCTCCAGCTACAGCTAAAGATACGGGACCTAAATTATCTTTACCACTACCTTTTTTACCATCACCTTTTTTAATGCTATCTCTGATATCCGTAAGAAATGTATTAATATCTTTTTTATCTCTACTTTTTAAATCATTGTTAGAACTTTCTATGTTGTCGGAGAATTTTTCTGCATCATCTTTATTAGTTATCATCATTCCATTTTCTTGACTCGTATAAGAATTAATAACATTATCACTAATCTTTTCTTTTTCAAGTTTAGCATCATTTATTTTACTGGATTCTTCTATATTCTTTTTGAGATCTATTGCTGAAGCAATATCGTTATTCACAGAATTGGGTCCTGTTTTCACTGGTAGTTCATTTTCACCTTTTAACTGAACAGATGTTTTACTACTGATACCTTTATTTGTTGTATCAGTAAAAGTCTTTGTGTTAAAAGTATTGTTTACAACCCTTGAATTTTGAAGATCTGGGTTAGAGACTTTGTCTATTTCTGACAGGGTTTTCACTTCATTATTAAAAACGTCTTCAATATTTTGATTATCTTCAACAAGATTTTTTGTGTTTTTTTCTTCAATAGTGTCAACTTTATTTTCTTTCATATTTTTCTTAAGTGTTTCAATATCTTTTTGATTAATTTCTAGCTCTTGAAATTCGTCTTTTTTGTTTTCATTAACATCTACATGATCTGATATATTTTCAAGTTTAGATATACTATTTTCTGTTTCAACTTTAGTAGAATTATTTTGATTGTCATTTTCCTGTATATTGTTTACGTTATTTTCATTTATTTCAACAGTATTAACTATATTAATATCTTTGTTAGAACTTTTGCCTTTTTCAACATCAGAACAACCATTATGAGTCAAATCTTTCTCTCTCTTGTCTTGGATGTTTTCCTTAACAATAATTTTACTTGATTTTGTATCTGCACTAATATCCTCTATGGTACTTTCTTTAATATCATGTGCATATTTATTATCTTTAGGTACCTCAGAAGAAACATGAGCTCTCAATTCTGGTAGATTTGCCTTTGGTTTAATTTCATTATCCTGTTCTACAGTTATAGGATTTTCCAAGTTTATCTCATGTTTAAAAACATCCTTCTTTTCACTGTCAAGGAAAGTAGTTAGTGCGTTGCTATCTATTTTTATATTTTTAATATTTTTTTTGATATCAATATTCCTGTCTTTTAAATTAGAATCTCCAACATTCTCTAAAAATATATCTCTAGAAAGTCCAGAAATATCAGTTTTTTCTCCTTTAGCTGTGCTAGTATCTACAGTATTAATAGTGTTTTCTTTATTGTCTTTTAAATCAACATTATCAGTATCAGTTTTCGTTTCCTCTACAAAATCACTGTTTTCCCTCTTGTAATCGTCAGAAATTTGTATTTTGTCATTCGTTGAAATATTTTCTTGATTTACATTCACAGCAGTTTTAGTCTGATTCTCATTACTTTTAACTATTTCATCTGGTTTAGATTGATGTTTATTGTTTTCTTTCTCTAACTTTGTATATCCTTCTTTAAATTCATTTGTAATATCTTTCTTATCTACAGATTCTTTAAAATCATTGCCATTATTTGTTTCTATATTTTCTTCTAAAATACTTAGTTCTTTATGACTATTGACTTTTTTAATTTTTGGGTCCTCGTTTTTATTAGAAATGTCAACGGCTTCGATAATTTTACTAGTATCCATTTTTGCTGTGTGATCAACTATAGCTTGTTTAGCTAGATCTGCTTCTTCTACAATTAATTTCTTTGGTATAGAGGAATCTTCCTTAATGATATGATCAGAAGATAAACTTTTATTATTATTAATCTCTTTTTTTGTTTCTTTATCTTGCTCTTCCTCAATATTATCTCGCATACTTTCATTTGTTTCCTTATTTTGTACAGTTAGAGGAACTGTTTCATTTTTACTTTTTTCTTTATTGTCTGAGAGAATACCAATTTCTTCTTTTGATCTGTTTTTATCTGGCTCCTCTTCTTTACTGTCTTCTATAGTAGGACTATTATCAGTTAATTTATCTTCAATTCGATTACTCTTATCTTCAGTTGATTTAAATAATCTATCAGAATTCAGTTTTTCTTCTTTTTCTTTCAGTTCAGTTTCAATTGTGATGGACTCTTCAATCGTTTTTTGCTCCTCAGATTGAGACAGATTATTATGAGAAGGTGCAATGTTAGTTTCTTCTACTGACATTAATTTATCTTGTTTGTTATCCTCTATTATAACCTTATATTCATTTGAATTATTATTTTCTTTAGTTGATTTGTTTAAAATATCTGATTCAAGTGTTTCTGTATGATTCATACTATTTTTATTAGTATCTTTAATAGTTTTATCCTTTTCAGTTTTGGAACTATAATTTTGGGAAATTGCGGTAGAAGATACATCCAAAATATCAGTTGTTTTTTTGATTTGATAATTATCTTTAGAACCAGCATTAATATTACTATCTTTTTCCTTATGAATAGATTTAATTTCATCATGATCTTTCTGTTTTTTACTCTCATTTGCAATTATTGTTTTGACAGAAGCACCTGCACTTGAAGCAGCAACAGCTGTACTAGTTATGACCAATCCATCTTTTAACTTATCTTTATAATCCTTTTTCTTGGTCCTTGATAATTTAAAATCTTTATCCTCTTTTTTGTCATCAACAGCTTTGACCTTCTTGGGTACAGAAGTTTGCCGTTTATCTCTAGGTGTACTTTGCACGCTAGAAGGGTTAGTTGAACTCTCACTCTTTCTTTTTGAGCTTATAGAACGATTCCTAGGTGTTTCTTTCTTGGTTTGACTTTCGTTTCTCTCCTTACTGCGGTTTTTCTCTCTGTTTAGTGAAGGTGCTAGTTTCTTTTCTTCTAATTTAGATTTTATTTTTGGTGATCTACTTCTAATGCTTAGCTGGTGTGAGAAATGCTTTATGGGTTTAGGTGGAGAGGAATTCTTTACAGGTAAAACCGTAGGTGCCTTAACCTTCGTTATAGATTGAGCTGATCGAACTGGGTGTACTGAAAGAATGATTAATTGCTCTGTATGGCACAAAAAATATAATCAGCTATTATAATTTATTATACAGGGTATCTCACAAATAAGTGTAAATATTTTAATTGGTAGTATATTTCGACAGCAGAAAGACGCCTGAGTTTTTTTGGCGAAAAAAAATTGTTGAAAATTTAAATTTTTTCTTGACATTTCCCAGGAAATTTTAAAAAACTTTTTAGTCCCACTTGTTTATTCACCTGAAATTTCTTTACGGTGTATCTAAACCTTACGGTGTTGCCACCTACTACGTTATCCACATTCTACATATTTCTATATTTATAAATTAGCAGCAATTTTAAATTTCTACTCAAAAAATTAGGAAAGTTAATTTTAAACTTTTATCTAAATTTGCCAATTAAATTCACTAATTTTAATACAAATTTTGATTGATATTTACTCAATTTAATCTAAAATTTTTAGATGCCATTGATTACAGAGTTTTGTTTGTTTCCTTTCGTTTTTCTCTGTTTTATTTTTAAAATTTAATACGAATTTCATTGCTTTGGATGTCTTGAATTTAAAATTGTTGCTTTTAAAGAACCATTTGGCATGTGGCACTCTTTTCGGACGGATGGGTTGTTGATGGAGCCATTGAATACTTCGCAATACATTGGAAATACATAAAAAATAACAAAAAAACAAAATATATGTATTCAAAATTAAGATTAAAAGTAGTTCGTGAAATGGCGATGAGAGGCAATAATTCCAAACATTCATTCATTCAGAAAGGTATTCACAGTGTAGTGTGCGCTTTTCAAGGTGTTTTGAAAATCATTGGTTCAAATTATGATGAAGCCTGTATGAAAATAATGTGTTAGAACGAGGACTATTATTTTAGTAGTTATTATAATAGCATGTACATGTAAAATAGCACAGTGAAGTGTATTTTAGTTAAGTGTGTATCGAAAAAGAGTACTGTCACATTTGTTATTACTAAATATGTCATAAGTTTAAGTATTTTTTTTACTGTTGTAGGTAAGTTTTTTTCTTTTATAATTTACTTTGTGTTGGCCACCATCTTAAAAATGTCTGGAATCTCTGCTAAACTCTTCAAATGGTGTGATTTTCTGATTGATTTTTAAGTACTACTTTCTTGACTATGCGGCAATACAGGGCGTCGAATTATCGGAGATGCTAGAACCAATCCGGATAATTTTATTAACTTTTTCTTATTTTATTTAATTTATATAGTTGGATGGTGTTGTCGATATCTGCCGGCGGTTCTCAAAATGTTGCCATATTTTTTTTAAATTTTCAAAGTTAAATAACTCGGTTATTTTCAATTTATTTTAAAAATGCTAAAGAGAAAATATGTTTCTTTTGACCAGATCTCCGACCCCTTAAAATATCTGCACTTATTTCTGGGACACCCTGTATATGCTACCATAAATAAATAAGTAGCTATATACTTAGGTAATCTATTTTTTAATCTGTGTGGAGACTATTATTTTTTTGTATCTATTCTATACATACCTTTATATTTGTGACTTTTTTCCCGTAGCAATACCAGTTGTGAAAAATACTCAGAAGCGAACTGGTACAGATCTTTAGGTTTTTTAAGAAGTACCTCTTTAGTTAATCCTTCCATGAGTTCTTCCAGTCCCGTAGGCACGCTTACTCTTTTAACGATCATTCTATCGTCACTGTCCCTTTTTATCAAAGTTTCCATTGTTGAAATAGGCTTAATTAATTAATAATAATTAGGATAAAAAAGACTACTTTAAAATAAAATTAAACAAAAATATACACTTAGATGCAAAAAAATGCAACGGAAAAATTTTTAAAATGTTATATTTTTATATTTTTAGTCCTATTTTCTTGATTATTTTAACAAACTGGTATACAGATGACAATTTCGATGCTCAACATTGGTATCTCAGAGACTACGAGAGATACGAATTCGGTTAAATAGGATAAAAGTTGCGTAATTAGAAGTTTGACAAACACATATGAAGAAAACCCCGGTATCTTGATTAGTTTCGGATTTATGTAAAAAAATTAAAATAATACGTTTATTTTAAATAACAATATCTTCAGAACTATTCTATCTATTGCAACGTAAGTTGGTAGTTTTATATTTTTGACATCGGCCAATTAGATGCCGTTTTCAGAAAATTTCTAAGCCTTCTAGATTTCACACAACAGTCAAGGTTTTGTTTTCTAATGGCCGCCATTTTGAATTTTTATACTGTTAGAGGGAGCGAAAAAAAGTCTATACGATGGTATCTAATTTTTATTCATTATTATGTAAATTCATTAAAAAATAGATTTTTCAAAATTCGCCATAGATCAAGTCTGCCTTGGAAATCCAATTAACACTTTATATATGTCAGCAAGTTATTTTTTGTTTATAATATTAAGTGTCAAATCTGGACGCACAAAAATTGTATAGTAGAGTTCAATACAGATCAATACAGAACCTAAAATTTTATTGTCAAGAATGCCAGCCCATACGTTCAAAGAATATATTACCCTTGATTATAATATATAGACAAGGATATTACTGTGGTCTGGTTTCTCTAATTAAATGAGGATTTTCTTTTGCATAATAATGTGAACTTTTTTTCTGTTAAATGTACCAGAATTTGTAAATAAAGATTCATCCATCCATAATATTTTTCTAGAAAAAAGAGGGCTGTTGAACACTTTCCCGAAACTATTTGCAAAATTGTAAATAGGGAATGCAATCCCGCACCAAAATCTCAATCCCGCAAGCCCGCGGGATTAAAGCAATCAATCCCGCGGATCCGCAAAATTGCGGGACTGTAAACAATAGTCATACATTTGGTTCTAAATGGTACAAAAGGCATTGTACATTTTGCATAGGCCCTCAATATATTGATATAGCGTGTATCTTAAACTAGCTGTACAGAAATTTGGACCGATTTATACAGGGTGTTCAAAAATATATTTAGTATATTAATCTAAATAAAATGAACTTAAATTTTATTATAATTTATCTACTTATTTTATAAATAAAAATATTATTCTGATGTTGAAGTTTTTTTTTAACTTGTGTTAGTTATCTGCTTTTAGATACACTCTATATCAATAATTTTTTGGCATATGCAGAATGTACAAAGCTTTTTGTACTACTTAGGACCATACATATGACTAAAAATGCATATTTTTCAAAAAAAAGTCAATTTTCCTTAAAACAAAAAAAATTAAAAAAACGATTAAATTGTTTTTTCTAATTTCAATACAGATTAGTCGTACTTGGTAAAAATTTCGATTTTTTTAAAACTCGTAAATTTGCGGTCAAAAAGATTCTTGACCAAATTTTCACTCTCTTATAAAACACCCTGTATACGAGAATTCGCTAAATATATTTTCGAAAACCACATAGCATCTTAAATCACAATAGATGCATCTAAAACCTGGTCCAAACCGCATCCCAAAATCTTTTTTAGTTCAAGAGATATTCAACTTTAAATTTACCCTAAAATTTTGCTTGTCCCGATAATTATGTCCGGCAGTTTTTTTGACGAAATTGTCCACAAGTACGGGTCCGGTTAAACAGGTCCCCCGGGTTCCGAGCGTCGACTCATCGGCCCGGAATGAAGGGGTTTGACCTTGGTCGTGATCGATTCGGTTACCCAGTAGTAATAATGTGTCAATCCCGCGGATCCCGCACGATAAATCCCGCAACTTCGATCCCGCGGAATCTCATTGCGGGATCCAGCATTTGCGGGATTGCATTCCCTAATTGTAATCTTCTCTCGTGATCTCCAGCATGTAAAAAAATGTAAATTTGGTATAATTTAAATTTAAAGTTGTGATATTTATGTTTTTTGATAATTTTCCCTTCATAAGAATCATTCATACAACACTCGCGAGTTATTTTACTTTACTACTAGAAGTTTCCGGATTTATTTCAATCTGAGCTGGCACATTAAAATCATTAAGTCTTTTTAAATATTGCCCTCTTGTTTCTTAAAGCTACCAGCAACTGCTAAATTTCTTGAAATCCTTGCGAAAATAGTACGATGAGGCTGCGTCCTTTCAGGACACAATGTTCTATAACTTGCGCATGCATGCCATATCGGAATTTCTATTATTTTTAAGTAAACATCATACATATCTCGTGTTTCTTCACTTGTGAACATATTGTTAAAATATATTTTACACTATTTACTATAAATTTGTGTGTCAAGATTTGACACTTAATAGAGTAAACAAAAATTAACTTGCTATCATTGGATTTCCCAGGCAGACTTGATCTTTTGAGCGAATTTGTAAATATCTAATTTTTTAGTAAATTTACATAATAATGAATAAAAATTAGATACCACTGTATGGGGGGGGGGGGAGCTTCCTGGCTACAACCCCCCGGGGTGCGTCCAACAAGTAATACGATATTATTATTTTCTTTAGTCACAAACGACTCTGGAGAATGTACTTTGAATCTTCTTTGAATAGAATTTTGTGTCTAACCCCCCCCCCCCCCCCATTTCCCGAATCCTCGATCCGCCGCGCCGCTGATCGAAGAGTTGTTTTTTACTCTATTTTTCGAAAGCCAATTTTTCTAAAACATCATTTGTCAGTCAGAACCATGTCATGAATATTTTGTTTTTTGACTTATGTCTTTTTTCAACACATGCCTTGGTTAATTTTTAAGAGCAAAATATGAACAAAATCCCACGAACATTTTCCAGTTCTTTCAATTATCGTTACTTTTTGATGTTATACTTCATAATGACGAGATAACTTTGATGATTATTGTTGTGTACCATTGAATATGGTTCTTAGGGTTGAAGATTGTGCAATTGTCATTGATCTTGTTGAAGATGACCGAAATTATGAAAATTTGCTTGGTCTTTGAAGAAGAATGGAAAGACATAACACAATATATTTGCAGCATCGTTAACAGTATGAACATGAACCGACGTCTACAGTTAGTTAAAGCAGTCGGGAGTGGTAGTAGAAAGTATTTCTTACAAGTTTTTTGTTTGTTTGTACAATTTACAGTTATTTTTTTTAATATTCTTAGTTCTGTTAGTGTTACTAATATTTCTTAAAACCAAGCCTCTGTATCGTTACTTTTTAACATTTTTTAAAATTTTAATATAGAGTTTCAGTGACGATATGACATTATGGCAATAGTCACCAAAGCCACGTCGTGATATTAAAAAAAAATATCCGGGATAAAGTAATGATAGTTGAAAAAATTGCAAATTGTTGGTGGCAAGTTCATTTCGCTCTTAATAATTAACTAAGGCATTTGTTGACATGTGTCAAAAAATAAAATGCTCAGGACTCTCAGGAGACACAGCTCCGATCTTTGTTCCGATCGTAAAATAATATTTTAGGAAAAGTTACATACGAAATTATTACACAGTGTGTTTTAAAGTTAAGATAAAAAACATCTCTTCAATTACCCCTGTATAATAAGCCAAATACTAAAGTTTATAAAAAACTGAGTTTATGAATTAAAGTTGAAAGATGTACACCGGGTGCGTCTCAAAAGTGGTTCATCCCTATATAACTTTTTTATTTCTTCAGATAAAAAAACGAGATTTGGTATGTTAGTATATATGACATACAGTACATCTGCTGGATCTGTGTCTACGAAAGGAATGCGGACAAAAAACATTTAAATAAACAACAATATATTTTATACGTCGACTTGACGAATATGTCACCGCAAATAAAAAAATTATAGGGGTGAGCCACTTTTGAGACGCACCCGGTATATAGTTTGCTAAAAAAATAATGAAAATAGGGCTAAAAGTAAAAAAACTATTAACACTTTTAAAATTGACGAAAAAAAAATTCTGTTGCATTTTTTTGCATCTGAGTGTACTTTAAAAATCATTTGTGAAAAAAACAGCCCTTATAGTTAAGGGTTGTTTTTTCACAAATGTTGTCTATTGACATACGCCTAAATAATACATACCGTATGATCAATAAAAAACGGCGTCCAGTTGATCCAAATTGTCCAAATAACGATCGATGACATTCCCATATAAATTTACATATAAAATGAAAGCGATCTTATTCATTTCATAGCTATCGCTGATGCCTTTTTTTCGATCATACGGTATTTTCAACGTATTATAATTTCTTACAACTTTGAAAAAAATGTTTCTTTCAATACCAGAATTTTAAAACGGGCGTATAAAAAAAATAGATTTTGAATAAATATCTCCTTCTATATATTTACTGAATTTTCATTAATATTGTAATTTATCTAATTTTTTACTGTTACGCAAGGTAGATAATCGAAATTGATCCAGATAAAAATAAACTAATAGAATAGAATAAAACATGAGATTTAAAAGAATACTGAATATTCCTAAAAATCTTGTACACAAAAATATATTTTTTCCTAAATATTTAAAAAAAGTCACTCACCAAAAAGTAGACTAATATTTGATAAAATACTATCAAATTTTGGATATAAACTTGATTCTTAGAGTAAGTTCGATGTTATAATGGTAAATATTCCTTAGTTACCAACTGGTTACCAACCACTCTAATGTTGATACAAACAAACTAAAAATATACATTAAATTTAAAGCGGTAGTTTACCCCGAAATATGATTTAGATATGCAGTAAAAAATACGCCCAAGGCCAACTTTTTACACCACCTTAAAAATTGCATGATGTTTAATATAAATATTTTTTAATTAATTTTGCTAGAAACATTAACGAACATATTTGGACTAAATTTAATTTAAAAATATTTTTTATTAACAAAAAATTAAATCCTTTGTCTTCTTAAAATAACTGAAATAATTGATCAAAATTCCTTTTTTAAATTGGATAAATTAACTATCTATATAACTGGTTGCATAACTACACTGATTATTACGTGTAGATTATTCTATTTCACGGAGTTCAATATGTTGCCAATTTCTATTAATCTTTTCATTTATATAAGAATACATATACAACACAGAAGACTTTAAATTAATATTAAAATTGATCTATAGCTTTATGTAATTATATAATGTATAACAAATAAAAAACACCACACATATCAAATGGTATTTATTTTTTATATAAATTGATCTACATTAATCATCATTGATGAAGTGCACCTAAAGTTGTATTAATTTCCCTATAGTATATACCTAGGTATTATTCCGAGGAAATGAAAAAATCAACTTTACACTTTCTGGAGTACTGAATAAAAAAATCTTATGAGGGTTTCTTTAAAATGGCGAAATCAGGGAACGTTATAAGTAGATCTCTCGGGGGTGGTTCGGCCGTACTATTGGAAAATATTTTAGATATATAATCGAGGGTACAATATTAAATTAAAAGAATATCTAACCTGCAGATATTTGATATTGGGAAATTTTGGAAGCGAAAATGAAAAACGGATAGTAAAAAATCGTCTGCAAAACGTTTTTCTTTAAATTTAGTACTACCTATTATAGTATTCATGGTTTACTAATGTTCGTTAATTTTTTATAAAGTTGCTTGTAATTCCTCTTAATTCCTGTGGAATTCCTCTAAATTTCTAAGGAATTCCTTGGAATTCATTGGAATTCTTACGGAAATAATTGGAATTCCTAGTAATTTCTATGGAATTCCTTGGAATTCCTCGTAATTCCTTGGAATTCCTGTAGAATTCCTTCATAGTGTACACCATAATTCCTCTGCGGTTTACCCCTCGAAATTTACATATAAAATGAAAGCGATCTTATGTATTTCATAGCTATCGCTGATGCCTTTTTTTGGATCATACGGTATTTTCAACGTATTATAATTTCTTACAACTTTGAAAAAAATGTTTCTTTCAATACCAGAATTTTAAAACGGGCGTATAACAAAAATTAGATTTTGAATAAATATCTCCTTCTATATATTTACTAAATTTTCATTAATATTGTAATTTATCTAATTTTTTACTGTTACGCAAGGTAGATAATCGAAATTGATCCAGATAAAAATAAACTAATAGAATAGAATAAAACATGAGATTTAAAAGAATACTGAATATTCCTAAAAATCTTGTACACAAAAATATATTTTATCCTAAATATTTAAAAAAGTCACTCACCAAAAAGTAGACTAATATTTGATAAAATACTATCAAATTTTGGATACCTATAAACTTGATTCTTAGAATAAGTTCGATCTTATAATGGTAAATATTCCTTAGTTACCAACTGGTTACCAACCACTCTAATGTTGATACAAACAAACTAAAAATATACATTAAATTTAAAGCGGTAGTTTACCCCGAAATATGATTTAGATATGCAGTAAAAAATACGCCCAAGGCCAACTTTTTACACCACCTTAAAAATTGCATGATGTTTAATATAAATATTTTTTAATTAATTTTGCTAGAAATACCAACGAACATATTTGGACTAAATTTAATTTAAAAATATTTTTTATTAACAAAAAATTAAATCCTTTGTCTTCTTAAAATAACTGAAATAATTGATCAAAATTCCTTTTTTAAATTGGATAAATTAACTATCTATATAACTGGTTGCATAACTACACTGATTATTACGTGTATTGGTGTAGATTATTCTATTTCACGGAGTTCAATATATTGCCAATTTCTATTAATATTTTTATTTATATAAGAATACATATACAACACAGAAGACTTTAAATTAATATTAAAATTGATCTATAGCTTTATGTAATTATATAATGTATAACAAATAAAAAACACCACACATATCAAATGGTATTTATTTTTTATATAAATTGATCTACATTAATCATATCTTAAATTTTTTTAAGAATTCTTCCTCTAGAGGATGCAGCACTGGAGCAGGAATAATCAAGGAATGTAAAGGACCACCTAAATCAAAATTTGATATATCTTTCAAACTGCAAACTATAATCTTCTGATTTTCTGATCCAATACGAGCCAAACCTACTCCTAAACTGGAATCTGTAATATCTAGAAAAATCCAATGATATATAAAAATATTACTATGGCGTCCAGTTGGCTTGGAAATGACGATCGATGACATTTCCCATATAATTTTACATATAAAATGACAGTGATCTTCATTTCATAGCCATCGCTGACGCCGTTTTTATTCGATCATACGGTATAATAATTGATTAGTTTGATTGAAAACAAAATGGCATCAGCGATGGCTATAAAATGAAGATCGCTGTCATTTTATATGTAAAATTATATGGGAAATGTCATTGAAGTTCAAGCCAACTGAACGCCGTTTTTTTTATCATACAGTATAATTACTCGTATTTTTATGTCCCTCTTGTCTCTTTTTAATAATGTCTAGTAATTGTTGGGAAGCTTCACTAACAGACATAAACCTTGGTTGCATATATTCTTTTTTCTTCTTTGTTAGACTCTCTAATGTAGGCTCTTTAACCTTAATGTCTATGAATAAAATGTTATTTCTCCACTATATAAAATGCATAAAAATAACTACCTAATAGACACAATGTGTGCCAATTATTTAAAAAGTTCTTTTCAATTTTATCATAAAAACTATCTGGTTGCCAGTTTTCAGTCCAATATGGAATTGATACTGTCTCGCCAAAACTATACAGTTGCAAACCACAACATCCAACTGCATTTAAAATTGAAGTATTGTGTATAACTTGAACTGGTATTTCTTTTTCTTCTGCTCTTAGCACTAGATCAGTATGTGTTGTAGCACCAAAAGGGTCTCCTACTACCAATAAAGCAACATCTGTTTTGTTTGCATCTCTTAAAATCTCATCTGCATCTTGTTCAACTAAATCTCTATCAGCTACAATTAATTCTCTTCCATAAAATTTTTCCTATAAAAGAATCTAATTATTCAAGTTGCTTTCATCAATAAGGGCTGTATTTTATTCTCTTACTAGTGCTTCTTTACCACATGTTAATATTGAGGTGTATGCTTCTAAATATACTCGTTCACATTTCTTTACTGCTTCTAAACCTTTTACAGTTATATCTTTACAGTCTCCTAAACCTAAACCCACGATATAAAACATTATTACTAATTTTACAAATTATTTCTAAAGTATTTTAGCGAACCTCTGCTGAAACATTGCAAATTGTAAGGTTTATGACTTACTTTCTTCTTATGTATAATTAATTTAAGGGCCTAAGCTGCTAGGATCGTAAAATAATAAACTAGGCTAGGACTATCCGGCCTAGCAATAAGGTTACTCATCGTCTTATAAATACGGGTCGTTGAATACAGGTTGAATATTAATCTGCTGGTATATAGGCAAGAAAAGCTGGTACTGAGACAGAAAATCTTAAGGTGTTAGGACTATCCAATCTGGATAAATACAAATTTTAAATTATCACGTCTTTTTTGCACCGAATCCGAACTGCAATCCTCAACGAAATCATTGGGCGCGTTGAGGGACGATCAGCGGCTGAGTTGGCTGAGCGGTTCTCTAAACGGTCTATTTTTACTATTTCTCTGATTTTTACACACAAAAATTGTCAGCCGCTTAGCAAAAGTCTCAGCGGTCGGTCAGCCGTTGTGTTCTCTGAACGCGCACATTGTCAATGGCCTACAGACTTGCTCGTTTTAAATTTTTAAGCCCTCCATAGTTTTAAATAATTGCCAAGTCAGTAGGCCATTAACCATGATATGGCCGAGTACCGCCGTTCGGATTCCGCCTAAACCCGGTAGTAGGCCTCGACAAGGAGAAAAAGGAGACGTTAACTCAGAGATATAGAGCTAACTTAAAATTTACCTTTTTTTTAATGTTAAAATTATGAAAAGAAGAATTTTCTTTTACTTTAGCAAACTGTCGCTAGATGACACCAATTTAAAATTTTGCTAAAAAATGTCAAAGTTTGATTTTCCATTAGAAAAACGCTTTTGATTTTTCTTTCTTGAGCCAGATTGAGCTTTTTATGGTTACATTCAATGTAATACTTTTTTGTAACTGGTAAGTACCTATTAAAGTATTACATTACTACAACCCTTGAACTAAGAGGTAAATGAAGGTAAAAAAGTCAAACTATAATAGATATCACTGCTTAATTCATTATATTAAAACATAAAAATATAAAACAATAAATGAGGTAATATGTATAATATACCGATTTAATTTTTAACATCTAACATATTACATGATATCACATGTTTATTTGCACACATCCAAGTGTTGTACGTAAATTTAATTATTGACGATACGTCGATGTGGGACGATAAGTATCTTTTGTTGCCTTAAAACAAGAAACAAACCACACTTTCTGTTGGCCAGTTTCATGTTTTTTTAAAATATTGCTCGTGTTTGAATTTGTGCAAAAAATTAGCCATGACTCAGTTTCCTACAGTCGAGCAGCAATATACAAATTTCAGTAAGTATTAAAATAGTTAAAATTTTGTTCGATTTATATTGAGTATTAAAACTGGGATATAATCACAGAAAACGGAGCGTATATTATGTATTATGGAGGTATATGTATACCTACCTATAATACGTAATTGAAAATTAAGATTTCCTAGAATTGTTTTAATTAGTAACAGGATTATGGCATAATTTTTTGATTTGCAAAAATTCAAAACCGATTACATTATAAGAAAATAATTTTCTTTATTGCAGCCTTATCAAAATATTTATTTAAATTTTTCTGTGCTGTAATATTTTTAAGAATTAAAGACACAGCAATATTTTTTCTTCTTTTAACTGTAAATATTATGTATATGATTGCCATTTATATTTATTCTTTTTATGTTCTACCTTTTAAACAGGCATTTGAAATATTTTTAAGTTAAAACAGCCATTCGGCATTGTGCCCTTGTATTATATTAAGTTCCAGCTAAAGTGTATTTTCTTCTGTTTTTTTTTAATATGAAAATTGACCAGAATATATTTTGTATATTATTATTCTTCAAAATAAATCTTGCTAAAATCGGAATATGCCATCAAAAGGGTTTTAATAAAAATTAAATTAAATTTCTTTATTTCCCCAACTTTAGCAAGATTACCTACAACAGTTGATATTTACACAGTATTTGTTAAAGATGCAACATAAGAAAAAAAAATAAAACTGATTAAAATTTGAACAAATGTCATGGCAAGAAATAGGAATACAAAAATAATAAATTTTCTCAATACAGTAAACTCTCCATTATACGTGCTAATGCTGTGCCCTAGCTCAGATAATTGGCGGCTCGGATATTCCGGATTCTTTAAATTTTGTTTTTTTATATATTTTTAATATGTATTATCTACATATGTATACAGGGTATCTCAGAAATAAGTAGTAAGAGTATTTTAAGGGGTGGTAGATCTCGATAAAAGAAACATATTTTACTTTGTTATTTTACTTTGAAAATTTCCAAAAAAAAATGATTTTTGCTAAAATTTTGAGAACCACTGGATCTTTTCTGGATTTTGTTGTAAATTTAATCTACTACCTATGTTGCCATATTATCAAGAAATTATTTTTTTTAAATAAAAACTAAAAAAAAATCCAAAAAAATTTTCAACTCTACTACCAGTTAAAATACTTGCACTTATTTTTGGGACACCCTGTATAAAATGCTAATGTTTGTCTGTGTCGTCTCTACTGAAGTAACGACTTGCTCTGGAAAGTTGCTTTTTTTACTAAAAGATAGCTAATTGGCTCTTCTAAAAACAGTCGCCGCCGAATTTTTTGTTTTTCGTTTAATTAAAAAAAAAGTATTTTTTTTTCTGTTGTAGTGGCGGATGCGCCAGGCTTCAACTATTTTAATAATAAATGCCAATACCAACGGTAAAATATTTTATTAATAATTTTGACAAACAAAAGAACAACTAAAGTCAGTTTGTGTTGCTTGTGAGAGTCGGATAATCGAGAGTCTACTGTACTTATGTTTTTTTTTCAAATTTGAATTATAAAACAAAATTAAATAAGGAAAATAATATGTTTACTTATAGATGGCGTCTTATACTATATATACCATCGCCTTTGTCGCTTAAAAAGCCCATGGGACGGTTTGCAAGATCGATTATTTTTTTGTATTCAATTTTATATCAAACTTTAATACTGGCTCGTGACTTTTTAATTGATTCAGGCAATGGCAGACTAGAATCATTATTCCCAACGAAGGTTTGTCGGTATTAAAAAATTGGTATTTCAACCGAAAGTGTTGTTTACTTCATCATAACATAAATTAATCAAATTCAGTTCTACTAAATTAATATATTTAAATAAAAGTACTTTATATAGAAAAGTGTTCTCGCTGGGAATGTATATATTTTTAAATATTCTTTTAAATATACTGCCAATTATATAAATTTCACATATATTTTATTTCTTAAAACAAGTAACGTTTGTTTAGTTTTATGTACAAACATATAGTACCTATCATTATATACCTCTTTTGTACACTATATACAAGGGATTTAACTATTTTACATATTTAAAACCCGCCTATTTAGGCTCTTAATTTGTCTACTAATAAACTTTTTGAGCTACGCAGCACAGATACGGCTATGGAACGTAGATTAGAATACATTTTAAAATTAAAAAAAGCACCATTTGTGAATAAGTCTTCGATTGACCTCATCCTCTTCGATATCAGAAATACTAAAATGAACTTTTTCATGGTTTTTAGGAAACAAAAATGAGAGAGAGAGAGAGAGAGAGTGAGCTTTGAAAATCTCTGGCACTGTTAAGCATAAGACAAATATGATGACAAAGAATGATTTTGATATTAGGATGCAATAATGTGAAGAATTGAGGTTTTTATAAAGATTTGTATCTTAAATTATATATAGTGCGTTTATTTTAACTAAAAATGCCCTTTATTGTTGTATATAACCAGAAATATTCAAGTGTATTTGAACTATTTCAAGTTAATAACTATAAATTCTACTATACGTAAAATGCATTTTCTTGCTACATTAATAAAAAAGTGTATGTCATATTTATAGTTAAAGTAAGAGCACTGCATATAACAACTGTTTTGTTAATTACTCGAGATTAATCGAGAAGTATCTCAAATATCTTCATATCTTATTAAATGAGAATCATATATGTTTTAGATGTGGATCTGTGTAATATATAATATATAAGCGATACCAAATAAACTTTTAGTGACGTGATTAAGCTTGACCCGCACCGCGTTGCCCACTTTTACATATTTTCTTTTTATTCAAATATTTTGGGAAACAAAAATAAATTATTTATAATTCTATAAGCAGTTATTATCAACAAAACTCACCTCCTAAACAACACTTAATGGACACAAAGGGTCATTACTACCGCTTTCCAGTTCAAAATATTCTAATATAAGGTTGTGATAAGTGTTTTGCAATGGCTATTAAGCTATCTTGTACACTTCGCACTAAAAGAGGTTCTAACAAGAACAATGCTCGTCTGCTAGAATTTTTTTAAGCTTAAGGTATCATTTCATTCAAACAATTCAATTAGACCAAAAACTCGTAATACAGAACTAAAGTGTCAGAACGAATGACAATGTCACGAAATAAATAAATAAATGTGGCCACTTGTCATTTTTTACCGCAGAGCTACCAACTAATCCCCAGTGGGAAATTTAAATTCCAGTTGGTCAGCTCCGCGCCGAAATGTCCATGGTTGGCAACAATGAATTTAAAAATCACGCCATCGATTACGTAACATAAAGATTAATTGGTATCGCTTGTATATATAGTTTAAGGTAATTGTTAAGATAAACTATTTTAAGAGACTAGTCAGATAACGTCTTATGTGTTAATCTGGCAAGAGATTCGAAGAGGCGAAGCTAGTTTCTGGGTATCGTTGTGCCCTCTATGCTGCGCTTTGTAAGTAAATTGAGCGACGGAGATCAGAGACGCCTTGCGTGTCACCGAATAAGTACCCACTTTGATAATTACCACCACGAGTCTCGCCCTCGCATTGTCTCTAAGAACTAATCTACAAATCACAACCTGAGTTAAAACACAATTCTTCTTGCTCTCGTCCAGTTATCAATTATTGCTACGTACCGCCTACCAGGACGTGCATAAGACCGTCCCATTCAGCGGTAGGTTCCGTTCTAGGTTCCTTCCACTCTTCATCGTTATCGCTTAAACCTAGCTCCGCGTAGAGCTCGTTGTTGTTGAGAGATTCCAGGTCGGTTTGTGATGAGAGGCTTAGGACGGAGCCCCAATTGATGGGCCTGGTGTCTTCGTCCCCTATTCCTGAATCCGTATCAGGAGCGGAGGATGGAAAAGGTGTCGCACGTCCCGAGGAGCACGCCACCTCCCGTAGACTCTGCTCGTACCCCGCTTCGGGCACAGGACAAGGCCTGGTAGGTGGGGTCATTTCAGGGAGAAGAGGGTAACTAGGTTCAGGAGGATCGGCTTCCATTTCTCGTTCCAGTCGCCTGAGGGTATTGCAGATGAGCACAGAACGACGCAGAGAGGGGTCGGAACATTGACGGTACCTTGCTAGTTTGCACATGGAGAGGTTGAGTACAGCGAGTCGTCGCTGCCGGTAACAAGGGACATGACACCACCTGGTGCGACCGTCGCAGCAACGAACGCGCGTCTTGGCTTGAGGAGCGGCGCCCAATTCCAAATACGACTTGCCATTTTCCTCACAGCGAATTGTTTGTTGTTGGGGTGGTTGGTAGTATTGCCAGTAGTCGGCGGATTGGTATCTGAAACAAAACGAATTGTTAGAACTATAAACGGAAAGACACTACCTTGTCATAACATATGAAAGGTGAGTTAGATCTGAGTAGTTAATAGAATAATGCTTACCTTCCATAGGAAATCTGAGGAACGGGGGTTGCGAATCTCGGTGGGTCGAAAGGCGGGACCATCCCAGCGCACTTCTCTTCGTCGCTCAATTCATCTTCAAACTCGTCATCCTCAAACTCGTCTTCGCTAAGCAGGGTGGCAGCTAGGGAGGGGGCGGGAGCCCGCCACGTATCGGCCGCGGGTACCGCTACTGCCCTCAGCCGCGCTATGCAATCGTCGGTGGCAGAGGAGGGGGTGACCGCAGGCGGCTGCTGTGGGGCGGTGAGTGTGTCCCACTTGCCGCTCTTAGCAGGGGGTGCGTCCGGATCTGGCAAAGGGGCGGGCGTGGTTGAGTCGAACTTGCGCTTGCCTGCCGCTACCGCTGTGGTGGTAGTCTGCAAACCCATCATGTCACAATTCTGAAAAAAATAAACATTGTTAGTTTAGTTTACTCACTCACATATATACATTATTATAGACTTATTAAATCATTATATATATTTTGTCCGGCTAAAAAATATATGAAATTAATAACGGTTGTCTGTCATCTGTCCAGATCGTACTCTCTTGTTTGATTACTATAATTAGTAATAGTTTATAATTCTGTAAGAGACTTTACTCTTACTTATTTGTCTCGCTAAAAAATGTATAAGTCATAATAAACACATACTGTTACTGGGCAACCTAAAGATTACAAGATAACTATAATACTAGTCTGTAGAGAATTTATTGTTATTGACTTTCTTGAAAATATCGTGACAAAAAATATAAAAATATTATTTTTTTTTGTGTTAAATGCCTCTGGGTTAAAATTTTTAATAAAATGTCTCAGTTTATGATTGGCGATTTAAGTTTGTTATGGTATTTCTAGGATATTCAACTATTTTGTATATACAATAAATGTTATATTTTTTTATATAAATAGTTTTAAATTTGTTGTTGATTTTTCTGAAATTAAGTCTTGTAGAAGCAAAACTCGTCTTGTTTTTCTTTTTGGAAATACATATGAGAAAGAAATCAAGTTGTTGACGACCTAAAAAAGTAGAATTAGAACTTTTTAACGCATATTTTAATTGATATAAGACAAGTTTTGCTGATCTGTACTATTCGCTATAGAATAGATACCAATTTATTAGAAGGTTCATAGGATATGTATAAAGAACAGATAATCAAGGAAAAAAAATCAATGCAATGTTCAACTCAAATTTCATGAAAATTGGATAAGGCGAATTTGGTTTGATGTCAGGATAATAGAATAGATATGAGAATATATAAAGATTCTACTAAAGACAGGGCCACGGTTTTGGGATAGGAATTATACAACAAGGTATTTATAACTTTTTTTTATTATATCTATTTGATTTACTAGTACTGCATCGAAATTGTTAAAATGAAGTTTTTGTTTTATACCATCATAAACTAATTATATATTTATATGAGCGATGTTGCCGTTATCGGGCCGCTAGTGTTCCGAGTTATATTAAAAAAACTCGTCGTATTGCGGCAACGCCGACTATCCGCGTGCGTGTGTGTTGTAAACGACGCTCAGTCGTCGAAAATAACCTTGAAGAGACGTAGTTTCTCATGACACAAGCTGGCCGGTCTGTCGGCCTATCGCCGCGGCCTTCAAGGATATAAAACCGGCCCGTGGAGTTGCTTGGGACAGGACTGCCTCGAATCGACAACGCCAGCAGCAGCATCAGCGAACCACCAAAGGAGAAAGAATACACCATGGGACGAATTATGTAGAAAGTTGTCATGTTTTCGACTGCAATAGATATTTCCTATTCATAGCTATTTTGAAAAGATGATTTACGTTTTTATATTAATTCGATTTTTTCTATTGTCTTAAGTGACTTGGACAAATCTATGTACTTTCTTGCCAGTTTTACCACAGCTTATTGGACAGCCAGTACTGCCCCGCTACATCCTACATCCAATGCAGTATCGCCGATGAAGTTTAATGTCATCTAATCTACATATCGGATGTTCTTTGGTATACAGAAAAAAAAATCGTGGGTGTTTGGGAAGGCTCGAAAGGAAACTTATGTTTTTGCGACGTTTCGCGACTTTATCGCTTCTTCAGGCACTATAGGATTCCCCCGATAATGATAATGATCAGTATATTTTTAGCAAGTGGATCCATGAAATAGATCTAAGGGATTGAAACCCAAATAGTACAGGACATCCAAAAGACATAAACACAGGACATTCAGAGGATGTCTTTTGTGATTTGTTGACTATGGTTGTAACAAATGAATTTAACAATGTATTATACAAATTAGTTTGTTTCTACATATGACAAATGTAACGTGTTTATTTGTAATATCTACTAAAAACAAATTCTGAAAGCACCATTGACAGGGTCGGGCTGTAAAATATTTGTAAAGTGGTGTAACCTCGATAGGTGGCGCAATTTCCATTCTGTTGTCTGTACGTGCTGCGTTGTGAAAGATGACTCGAGGTTAGTAAGTAAATGGGAAAAATAAATATTCACTGCAGGAAGGTGGCGTGACACCACAATACTCATATTGTTGCGAATGAAAACAGCCGTAGGGTTGTTATAAAAGGTTTAAAACGGCAGGCAGTTACTTATTTTTCTCTGTCGCCGTAAAAAGAGTAAAATTACATTTTTTAGTACTTTCCGTTAACCGACAGTTCATATATAAGATGAAGGGCTGAAAATTCATATTTGAAGAGAATTTAGTATTTTTAATAGTAATTTTTACTATTAGGCAACTGAGACCGATTATGATAGATAAGAAAAAGAGCGATTGACAACTGTAACTTTTAAATTTATTTATATACGAACGAAATAAAATGAAAGTCAACTTTTCCATAAAAAGAACCGAGTACAAAAGACAATGAAACCATAACTGACTGGAAAAAGGTATCTTTTGTCGACATGAAAAAAAAAACAAAAAAATTATCAATTGGCGAGGAATCAAGTAACGGATCTCGAGTTGCGCACCGAAAAGTGGTACGTGCGGCTGCTGCGGATCGACGCCATGGCAAGGTAAGACCGTCCGCCAAGGAAAATAATAATCAGTAAATTAAATAGAAAGCGCGCACTTATATAAAATCAAAAGGCCCGCGCTCGCTAGCTTGGTCGCCGCGCCGTTCACCGCAAACGGCTATGTTGCGAACACGGCCTCTCGTTTCCAAACCGCCTCAGAGCGACAAAAGAATTGGGATAATTACCCTGTCCGGCGAAAAAGTTCATAGTAGAACATTCGCCAAAATTCACGGTAGAGGTGATAGATAAGGATTGAAAGACAGCCAAAGCTGTAGTATGGATCTGCTAACAGGGCATTGCAAGCTTAATAGGCATCTAAAGCTAATGAGGTTGACGGTCGAAGCCATGTGCAGGTTCTGCCAATCTGAAGAGGAAACGACAGTCAGGAAGAGGAAAAACATTCTTTGTCGGTGCGACAGCCTGGAAAATGTGCGGTTCTCGGTAATAGGCAATGATAGACTATTGCCAGGGAGCTACATGGAGGGTTCAGTCTCCACGTTGCTAGACTTTGTGAAAACCTAAGGATCAGAAGAAGACCACAATCTAAGAAGGTCGCAGTGGATCAGGCCGATAGCCACCCCTAGGAATCTAATCTAATCTAATATATCCTTCCGCTTCCCGAAAAGTACTGTGGTTATGAAAGTACTGGATCCATAACAACCGAATTATTGAGTTTTAAACAGTGGAAAATATTTTCCTACATCATTCTCGCGGTCTCTGTCAAGAAAAATTTACGATTCTGTGAAACCACCCAGAAGCACAGAGAGGCAGACAATTTCCACAACAATAATCGTATATCAGATAATTATCCACTTGATAGCCAAGAATCGTATGTGCACGGCTGAAGACTCTGTTTTTGTCGTTCTGAGGTTGAAGCTCTCCTGCTGTCGGTTTCACCGTAACATTGTCGTCGTTTTTTCTTTCTTTTTCGACACGCCTAATGGTGAAATTTTCTCATTTTTCTCCCGTAGACGAACCGTTAACATCCTGGATTGGCGGTCCGATCAAAAGAAATTCTAGACTGCATCTCAAACAGTATCCGCGATATTAATTGAGACTTGATATTAGGCCATCAAAGTCTTTATTATGCCGATATTTACCTTCACTTCCATTTATTTGAATGTGTATTTTGATGCTTTTAATATACCGTGTGATCAAAAGAAACGTAAGGAAAATAAGTAAGTGAAATAAAACTATTGAGGACTACGTAAAAATGCATTCTCTTTACTGAGGGTCCTGAAATAAAGGATATATAGACATAGGAACTACCTTTAAGCTAACAGTACTTTAAGGTCCGTCTTATTATTAAAGACGGCCATAGGGACTTGATAAGAATGAAAATTATTACCTTATAAGTGTGGAGAATGTTACACTGAAAAAACAAAAATGTTACTAGAATTTAGAATTAAGAACATTATACCAACATAATAAAGTGAGACAGTTCAATCAATATCAGTGGTTTTAGACCATCTTTACTCATATTAATCTCAAATCTTAGTGGTCTGAGGCTAGAGTTGTCCACAGATCACCGCACGGGAGGACGTTTTTATTCAGAATGAAAATATTTTTAGGCAACCAAGCTTTGGAGTACCAAAGGTTTGTAGAACTTCTAAAGAAGACTAATCCAGGAATCCTTGTGCACACTCTCATAGGTGAACGATTTTTTACGCTATATTTAGCATGTTAGATGATATTTAGTTATAGTATCAGTCTGATAAGAGGTAGTGTGATATGGAAATCCTAAACAAGGATAGGATGCAACTTCGACATAATAAATTTCTTTTAAATGAAACATTATCTACCACCTTAAAGCGATTGTATTAAAAACATTTAAAAAATCTGATTCCATACAGGAATAATAAAACAGCACGGACAAATATAAAGACGCAACCAACGGAAGCCAATATCGAACGAGTTTATGAGCATCCTGCAGACAGGAACAATAGCAATGGGGCGCTTAACGTGCACATAACTGTCATAGCGGAGCACCTGCTGATCGAAAAATCACAAACGGCGTTAGGGTAGGTCGCGACAAGTGTCTTTAGTATTTATGGTCGGCGGCAGGCCCGTTAACAGTTACTCAAAAGTAATCTGTAGTCGGTTTATGTTCGACATAAACGACTGTGACACCTGTTTGTTCAATAGGTAATTGTAGGGTCTTCCCTTTGATGCGGTTTATAGAATATTTAGAAACGCTATTGTTTGTTTTTAATGGTATTATGGGTGGAGTAGTGTATTTAGGTGTTACTAATCCGATATTTAGAACTGCTTTATTTATAAAGTTTCGACATTTCATGACTTGTTCTAACCAAAGCACAATATTCATGTTCGTCATTTTAATTCAAAAGTTTTTTTCTGATAATTTTGGAATAATCTGGAATTTTTAGGATCCTGTATAGATCT